GGGATACATACAATAAGAATTCAGTTAGCATAGAATGCACACTTTTTTTGTATTAATTTATATAAATTGAGAGAATCGACCTTATTTTATTTTTGTCTGTCCCGTTAAAACCAGAATCGGCGACGCCGCCGCGCCGCTCTCCTCCTTCGCGAACGCGTGTAACATTTCTCCTTTCCATAATTATCACCAAAAGAGTACCATAAATCATCCCCTCCAAGTTGAAATCTCAATCGGATTTAATCGGCGTAATAAAATTTAATCTTCCGCTTATACGGAAAACCTCCGATGCTGGCGACGTTTAAAATGCCATTCTTAAACTTCGCTAATTATTCAAATTTGGAAAATTTCTTTCCCAATTACTAGCGAATTGCGTCAAATTATTTTAACTTTATTCCGTCGTTTCCCGTCCGCCATTTAGAAGTGGAACAAAGGCGGAAATGAATTGGGTTATTTTTTATGCGCGAAAAATAAGCGTTGATTAAAGAGACCCCTTGAGCAGGAGGGCTTTTTTTTCATTTTTCAAAGCGACGCCGACGATTTGAAATTTCATGTGGAACTACAACAAAATCTGCAAAATATACAGATATCGCGCTTATTGAGACGAAAACATTTATTGTGATTTTGATGTTTAGTTCAAATTGAGTCAAAGGTACGTTTTATCACAATTGCAAATACCAGCCCCATTATAGCGCATTATATCGGAATCGACAGTATAGATGAACTCGGTTGCGAATTAATCAACAGCTAAATTTCCGAATTCGAAATGCCTTCGCTGAGTTCGTGGGCCAGTTGCAAAATGGCGGCCGTTCATAGCTTCGAGAAAAAAATAGAAAGTGTTTTGGAAATGCGATAACATCCCGTACGCTTTTTCTAAGGGACCATTTTTCAATTTCTCGAACGGTTTTCGATTTCTACAAAATCTACCTACTTCTTCCGATTCAGCCAGAAAGACTAAAATAATTTGGTATATGAACTTCCTATTATTTTATTTAGTGCGAATCATCGGGAATGTGTTGCAATATGTTAACCGGCTCAATCCTAGACTTGCTATTTCAAGTTTCCCCCAGCCCCATTTCGTTATTCCGCAGTAATTGAGTAATATCCCGGAAATCTCCGCATCTCCCAAGTTCCAGGCTCAGATCAGAGTGCAGCGTTGGATGGCGGTTTTGCGTATCGATTTACGCAAAACACAATACGCTTCTTCCGACGGTTTACGATAACTAGACAAAAAATGATAATTAAAAATCAACTTTCCTTGCACTTGACGCGACAAGAAAAATCGCATCTAATTTTTCCGTAAAACGCGCGTTTAATTGCCTCGAAACTGACGACGATATATAAATTAAAAGGAATGTGTGTACTGGGACTTCATTCTGGATGCATTCATTTTCTGTTAAAAGCAATTTACCGCCTGTCTCGATCTGCGGTTCCGAGATTATCCGCATAAATCTCGAAGGTACTTCCTTATAACGGATCCAACTAAATCGTCAGGACGGACATCAAAGTATCATTAAGTGAAATGAGCGATTTAGATTTTATGGCACACAACGTGCTAATGACTTTATGAAGTCTGACGATGTTTCCAAACAAAGCAAGGTAAAAATACTCTAATTTACGAATTGGACATGATGTAACGTATAGGGACGCCAGTATGGCGCATTCTATCGAAATCGAATGCAAAATGTAACCTATTAACTGAGTCTAGATCTACAACGAAGGTAGTTCGTTATTTTCACGGCCAAAGATACTCGGATAGGTACCAAAATTTCGTCGAGATATGAACTTGTTTTGCACCCTCTTTTAGGGGCTGAGTTATTTTGGTGAAGAATGAGAGAGGGCCCATCGAAAAACATTGGTAGCTAAAATCAGCAACTTCATCTATGGTTGCTGAAAAAGTTTTTTCGGGGACATAGCTCTAAAACGAAACATTTTGACCCTCGGTGTATTTGGCCCCCTTTAAATACCATTCAAATTAACGACAATTAGCGAATTCAACTTGTGCAGATTAATTTTGAGGGTGTTCTAAAATAATTGACACACATGACTGAAAAATCTGATGTCTGAGGGTTGCATTTTAGGTTTCACACTCTGTCAGAACGTTTTTTTCGTAATGTCAATAATAAAAAAGTTTCCCGTATGCTGCAAAGGTAAGTGAACAGACTGTATATGAAATTATACTTTCAGTAGTCGATCTGTCAATTTCTGTTCATGTGATAAAACACTTGCATTTACTTTTTTTGCATTGTATGAAGTGAGCAACTCTTGAGCAAAAAATATGCCAAAATATACAAACTGTACAGGATGCCAATTATGTATGGAATATAGCATATATCTCAGTAAATAGCGAATGTATATACATGAAAGTTGTTTAACATTTTATTCCCCTAATAGGCAACATTCAGTTGTTTTTTTTTCAAAGAACAAATGAGTAACGAAAAACAATTGAATTTTTTTAAATGGCAGTAATAGGTACCTTTCCATGAGGCTCATTTGTTTCTCTTTTCGATGATGTAACATGTTAATACCCTTATACAAAAAAATTTATTATAATTACATCAGTAACATTCATCTAGATATCCTACATCAAAATAAAATAAATGAACGTGTACGTTTCTTATTAAAGACTTATTGAAGACAAAATGAACTTTTCATCGCAATAAGTATTCAAAATATTTTAATTATTAACTCAAAGCAGTGAACTAACCTATCACGGAAAGCTTGAAATGAATGTCTGTCTGAGTATTCTGGGAGAAATTGCTGCAGCAATGATTGCTAATTTCGTGTTGTCTTTAACGTCTATAATAAGAAACGAACACGTTCGTTTGTTTTATTTTGATGTAGGATATCTAGATTAATGTTACTGATGTAATTATAATAAATTTTTTTTGTCTAAGGGTGCTAACATGTTACATAATTGAAAAAGGAAAAAAAAGCTCTATCAAATGAGGGTAATGAAAGGGTGTATTCATATTTAAAAAATTCAATTGTTTTTCGTCACTCATTTGTTTTCTGAAATCAAAACAACTGATGGATGCTGCCTTATTATGGGAAATAAAATGTTAAATAACTATCATAATAGAAAAATTTTGTATACAGTCGATATCTACAGAGATATATACTATATTCCATACATAATTGGCGCCCTGTATATCTAGTAGAATATGACATAAAATCCAAATACGATATAAAACGTAATCCACCCCAACGCCTCATTTACCAATTTTGCCTTTAAGGTATACCTTAAAGGCAACATTGGTTTAAGTTATTGGTTAGGGTGCATTATGTTTAATGATCGTTGTGGAAGGTTAAGGTAGGATAGATTAAGGGTTATGTTTGGTTTTTGTTTAAATTGTTGCTTATTATGATTTGCGTATTTTTAGTGCATTTTTTCACATTTATTTGTAAAAAGGTAGCTTTTTCACTTTGGCTGGCTGGCAGTAAATATGAGCCTGTAGAAGAACGCTTGTAAAAAAATGAGGAGTGTACATGATGTGGGGTCGGCGACATCTGGGAGCCATCCCCGAGCGTGTTATATTAACCTGGAGATTTTTCAGTTTTATTTCTATTTTCTTCTACAGGTTTTCTTCGATTGTTTTCAAATTTGTGTCATCGGAAAGATCTTGTTAACGCGCACAACTCCCGCGTGGTGGAATTTGTTTTTTTTCCTTAGGGGCGCGCTTCGAGGCCCAAAAGTTTCTTAGAGCTCGAATCGCGGTCTCGTGTCGCCAATAGAAGCTCGAGCTATGAGAAGTACTCAAAAATTACAAATCCCCATCAGATACAAAAATGGTACAGTTTTTTAAGACTTAACGCATTATTATTTTTTTTAATAATTATAACCTTCACCTTCTTAAGAAAAATAATGTAACATAAATTTAATTACGTCGTTTATTTATAAACTAATTAACAATAAATGTATAAGAGTCTTGAAAGGAATTGGAAAATCAAAATTCAATTTGTTTATATAGCTAGCAAAACCCCCTCCATCTCGATTACATCGCATCCGTTTTAGTTCTTTATTGTCTGTGACTAATCTTTCATGGCCCCTCGATGTCTATCGAAATTTCAGGAATATTTGCAACAATAGCAATCCTTTGAAGTTAAAATCACCAGAAATGGTGTGTACTTAAAGCTACAAACGTCATTTGTATTTTCCGGACTGCCCCCCCCCCCCGTCTGCTTTGCGCTTTTTCTAGGATTTGTCTAGGGCTCGCATGGATTTAGAATCAGGACATCGTCTTACTAAGATCACAAAAATTGGAATACGCTATGCAAGATTTGCAAAGTGCTATAGAATCTTTTAAACGCTTTCCACTGCCTTAAAAGGTTTTCAAAGCATCTCCCAGTTTTTTGCAGGTCCCTTCTAGTAACTACTGAACCATCTGCAGTACTTGGGCGATTCTGGCAAGACTTTTCCATAGCCTTCCTTGTGTTTTTTAAAGCATTCGTGCGTCCTTTTAAATTAAACCCTTTTTATTTAGTCTTTTTGCTGGTTTTACATTACGAGAAACTTACATAATTCGTGAAGCAAAAAATTCAGATTGTAAGTCACTACATTGTTCACGAAGGTAGAAATTAACGACAAAAACCGGGGGGTGTAAATAGAAGCCATTGCACCTTTCAGAAATGTCTGCATTTGCAAGAGATGCACATTCCTTATGAGTTTAAACTTATAGTTTTTTACAATATCTAATATTAGGCGTTAACGACGAATAATTATTTTTAAAAATTTGTAAAATAACGTCACATTTTACGGAAGAGGGGGGGGGGGTATTACCGTAAAACGTACAGCCCTTGCAATTCAGTGTCTAAATTCGAGCTTTGATTAATAGTTATAGCTTCACATGTTTGGTTATCAAAAATGAGGGCGACTTCAGTGTTTGCTGATCTTCAGGTCGTCAATCTTTACGAGTTGCCTTTCGCCCAAAAAAGGTTGCCATTTCGACGTAACTGAGAAATATAAATATTTCAATTTAAGTTTATTGTATTTTTTGTTCCAGGTCACGTAACAGCGTTATCGAATCAGTCTGAAAATAAAACCCACCTACTGTTCTCCCAAATCTATCAACAGATGTCAATTTTATCGAAGGAACCGATAAGTATGCTGTACAGAGACATTCTACAATATATCCAATTGAATAGCTCTCAAAATCTCCTTTCGACGACGGACGTCGACGTGAAAACGTCGGTGACGCGCTTCTTTACCGAACTATTTCCGCTCGTCTATCACCAAATTGCGAAAGCTCTCGCTCCGGATTTTTCTCCCGATTATAAAGTGTGCCTGAAAGAGATAATTAAGGAGATACAGCCGTTCGGCGACATTCCTCGTCAGCTTTCGCAGTCTTTGTCAAAAAGTTTGGAGGCGACTCGTCTGCTGTTGCAAGCATTCGATATCGGGATCGAAGTTCTCAATACGACCGATACTCTTCTGACGGAGGACGGTGGTAAGGGTAACGTGGAGTGTCATCATGCTTTGATGAAGATGACGTACTGTCCCAAGTGTCTCGGTCTCGTCGGCAAAGAGAAGCCATGCTCTGGGTATTGTTTGAACGTACTTAGGGGATGCTTAACGAAATACGTCGCCGAGCTCGACTCGCCTTGGAATTCGTACGTGGAAGCCATCGAAAGACTCGTCATAGCGATAAAGCAGCACAATAACGAAGTTGGCGTAAATGTCGATTTGGTTATACGGGGGTTGGATACGAGGATATCGGAAGCTATTATGTACGCTATGGAGAAGGAGCACGAGATCGATGTTAGGGTAAGTTTTGCCATTGTTTTATGTCTATTGTATTTTTGTCGTTACGATTACGATCGGCTGGGGCACGAGTTAATTTATGTTCCCCCGGGGACATAGTGGAGATATTTCAATTATGACGTATCGTCACCCCTTAGCTAAATCACGGCGTTCTGATTACTAATAAAATGTGTCATCGATAAATTCTTCCCAAACCCCTTTTTTTTTCTTTCGCTACCTGCCAGCAGCAGCGCGCGAGCCGACCGGATATTCTTTCTAAATCTAAGTTGGCAGGGGATCCAATAAATTATTTATGACCATAATCTCCATCCATCGGAATGCGCGCGTTCGGCTAGTCCCGAAAGTAATTACATCGGCGGCGGCGTGTTTAAAAGGTATACTCTGAGCACTCGCTTTAGAATAATACAATACCTACATATCTATAATTTTTGCACTCGTTCTCTTCACCTCATTTCGCAATTTTCCCCGGAAATTACATTTTAAACGGTGTTATCGTTATTTTCTACCCTTACGCGCCTGTTGTGTTACCGCTTTTAGCACAATGTGCAGCGAGTTTTTTTTTCCATTTCGGTATTTTACATACATTCGAGAAATTAACATATTACCAAACGATTTTTTCTGTCTGTTTGTCCGAGACTCTTAATACGATGACTTGAGAGGGAGCAAGATTTTTTAATTCGAATTTCGGCAGCTTTTACTGGGGTGATCAAAATCGTATTAACAAAAATGTTTCAAAATCATGATTTATGCACCAGTTTCATTCGAAACTCGTAATTCAGATACGCAAGTCGAATTCGACGGTTGTAATAGCGTGAAAAAACAGAGAAAATCATTGTTTATGGACTAAATATGAAAAAACGTCCAAAAAGTGCTCGATGACCAAGAATCTAATTTTTAGATTGCGAACTTTGTAATTTTTCGGTATTAGAAACTTAAAAATTTTCGTAAATAAGACATGCTTGCTTTTTAGTAATTCTCTTACCTGCTTCTACTCCTTTCATGAATGTTTCATGCTCACATCACGATTTATTTACACTTCCTCCCTCATTATGCTTCAATAATATCCACAAATTAAGCGAATACAGTATGATTGATTTGGCTGTCCAAGCGTATTTTATTATTGGAGAAAAGTGTAAAAAACAAAAATACTCCACTTACAATTTCTGATAAAGCTACATATTAAAAAAAACGAGAAAAACAAAAGAGCATCAGAAAAAAATATAATTTATAGAACACTTCCATTTTTCTGCAATATTCTTTGATGTGCTTGAAATTCTCTTTACAATGGTATCAAATAATAATTACTTTAGAAATTAAAGCTGTGTTATTACAGACAAAAGCAACCGTTCTATTTAAAAAATTCGTTTTCTGATGCTCTTTTATTTGTATATCACTTGTTTTTTGAATATGTAGCTTTATCAGAAATTAAAAGTATACGCTTTGACATGCAAAATCAATCACATTGTATATACCCCTTCATGTATCGGTTATGTTCTTACCGAAATTGTTGTATGAAGTCTCCTTTTGTGATTATTAAATATTTACCCGTTCTTTATCGGAACCAGTACCTACCTATTTAATTTTGATATTATTAAGTGTACCAATTGGAATAAATTGCGATGAAGTATTTTGAAAATTGTATAAACTCTCACTTTTCGCTCAAATATGCTACATTCAATGCAACCCCAAACCGTTAGGTTCTCTTTGTTTTTTGTTGTGGGTTGTCTTATTTGTCTACAAACCCAAATCTTTACCTAGGAAGAAGTATAAGGTAGCCTTTTCAGAGAAATATCTACTTAGTCACTTAGCGGCGAATTTTCAACGAAAATGTAATTCATATACCACCCACCCGTAGTAAAATCCCTTTTTCGTCCGACTGAATGGGCCGAAAATCTGACAAACAATTTTAAGGTCCACAAATTATCATTTTAACAGCTGACAGAAACCGTTCGTGCGTTAATTTGCACTTAAAGTAGGTATTTACCTTTCCGTTTCGTTGTTTATTTAACATTTTTCTTTGAAATTTTGCACGCGCCCATAATTGCGCTTGTACGACTTGCCGTCGACAAATTGATTTTGAAACGATTAATCTGTTGTGTGAGTAAAGTACCCATACATTATTCAACCGATTAAGGATTAAGTCATCCAGTTTGTGTTTAGATAAAGCATGAAGAACCGACCTTCTTAACCGCGGACGAGAGAAGCTGATTTAAAAAGAGATAAACGACGACAACAACACACCTTCGGAATTCTCTCACTAACGAACTTGCCTGTTAAACGAGACATTATTAAATAAACACTCTAATTAAATTGACGCATCTCGAATTTAACGATGCAAATTAAGGAAATGGACGCGTACCGAAAAAAGAGCCGGGTCGCACAATTTTATTTCATTTTTTGGCACTCCGCTTTCCCCGAGTGCAAATTTATGGTTTTGACATAATGTTTGATGGCGCCGAAGAATCTCTTACAACTACGTTCCACGTAAACTTGAAAGGGCGCAAGAGTAATAAGTATTCCAGAAGTGTTTTTCGAACGATGCTGTGATTATATGATTGAACGAATATAATTTTCTGTTTCTCAAAGTTCATAAATTTACTTCAAACTTCCCTGAATGTATCTTTCAAGGTCCACTACTTAAATTTTCCTGAAGTTCATATCAAAATCTTCTCAAGATCCTCTCCAATTCTCTTCAATCACGTTTCCATTTGTGTCTCTCATTTTCCTTTAGCTTTTCCCAAGTTTCCTATTCAGGGGCGGACTGGGTAACTGTGGGCCAGGTGGAATTGCATAGGTTACGGGCCAGCTCTGAGGTGCACCACAAAAACATTTTAAAGTACTCCTTTCTCGAAAATAAATTACCATACAGTTTTTTTTTTTAATTTCAGCTGATAATTAAAAGTAACAAAATATACAATCCACACGAGGTGCGTCGCCTATCTTTGTATTTCAGAACTTTCATGCTACGACAAAAAATGATAAATTCATTGTAAAACACTTCAATTAAAACAGAATTTTTTAACAACCTAACATCAACCCCAATATTAGAGAAACGTGTTAATAATTTATTAATAGTGCAAGAAACTAAATACAGCACATACTTATAAATTTCCAACGGGCCATTATGATCTACAGGCCAGGTGGCAATCGCCACCCGCCCCCCCGGGCCAGTGCGCCCCTGGTTATACACTGCCTTTTTTTGAGCCCCGAAAAAAATTCTCTCAGATCGACCCGGAAAAAAAAATTTCTTATAGAATGTGGCCTGTAGAATCCATAATTTCAAACAGTTCCAAGTTCAAAAGTTACAGCCCTTTGAATTTTTTTTCGAAATTGGTTTCTAGTCTATAACTTTTGATTGAGAAGTCTGATCGAAAAAGTACGAATTAATTTGGATTCTACGCACCAAAATTAATAAGAAAAAGTGTTTTCCCGAGAAATTTTGGTGCAGTCGATTTTTGGTAAAAAAGGAAGGTTAAACACTGCCTTTTTTTGAACTCCGAAATAAAAATTGTTTCAGATCGCCCCGGAAAAAAAATATTCTTATAGAATGTGGCCTGTAGAATCCATAATTTCAAACAGTTCCAAGATTGGGCTACTAGTTCAAAAGTTACAGCCCTTTGAATTTTTTTCGAAATTGGTTTCTAGTCTATAACTTTTGATTGAGAAGTCTGATCGAAAAAGTACGAATTGATTTGGATTCTACGCACCAAAATTAATAAGAAAAAGTGTTTTTCCGAGAAATTTTGGTGTAGTCGATTTTTGGTAAAAAAGGAAGGTTATACACTGCCTTTTTTTGAGCCCCGAAAAAAAAATTGTCTCAGATCGACACGGAAAAAAAATTTTCTTATAGAATGTGGCCTGTAGAATCCATAATTTCAAACAGTTCCAAGATTGGGCTACTAGTTCAAAAGTTACAGCCCTTTGAATTTTTTTCGAAATTGGTTTCTAGTCTATAACTTTTGATTGAGAAGTCTGATCGAAAAAGTACGAATTGTTTTGGATTCTACGCACCAAAATTAATAAGAAAAAGTGTTTTCCCGAGAAATTTTGGTGCAGTCGATTTTTTGTAAAAAAGAAAGGTTAAACACTGCCTTTTTTTGAACCCCGAAATAAAAATTGTTTCAGATCGACCCGGAAAAAAAATTTTCTTATAGAATGTGGCCTGTAGAATCCATAATTTCAAACAGTTCCAAGATTGGGCTACTAGTTCAAAAGTTACAGCCCTTTGAATTTCTTTCGAAATTGGTTTCTATAACTTTTGATTGAGAAGTCTGATCGAAAAAGTACGAATTGATTTGGATTCTACGCGCCCAAATTAATAAGAAAAAGTGTTTTCCCGAGAAATTTTGGTATAGTTGAACTTTGGTAAAAAAGGAAGGTTATACACAGGGGCGGACTGGGTACTTACGGGCCATTAAAGTATTAGTGTAGTAATGAAGGTGGCGGGGGGAGGGGGGGGGTTAGCTCTGAGGTGCACCACAAAAACATTTTAAAGTACTCCTTTCTCGAAAATCAATTACCATACAGTTTTTTTCTAAAATTGCAGCTGATAATTAAAAGTAACAAAATATACAATCCACACGAGGTGCGTCGCCTATCATTGTATTTCAGCACTTTCAAAATACTACGACAAAAAATGATAAATTCATTGTAAAACACTTCAATTAAAACAGAATTTTTTAACAACCTAATATCAACCCCAATTAGAGAAACGTGTTAATAATTTATTAATAGTGCAAGAAACTAAATACAGCCATTATGATATACAGGCCAGGTGGCAATCGCCACCCGCCACCCCCGTGCCAGTCCGCCCCTGTTCCTATTCGTCTAATATACTCATAATTCTTTTTGTCTTTTACTATTTTATTTTCTATTGTATCAGGTAGTCTCTGTTTGTATGTTCCAGTGCGATATAAAAAGCTTTATTTCAAAAAAACAAAAATTGCAAAAAACATGTCCATTTCAATAGATAGGAGGAAGTCCCTGGAGATCGAATGAAAATTTTAATCTCGCTGAATTGTTCGATTACTTGCATATTACTAGTTTTGATTTTGGCCGAAGATACTTAACTGCAGTTACGGCTTTGGAATAGTAGGTACGAGAAAAATGGCAAG